ATATATTTAACTTATCTATTCAATTAAATAGCCTCATATTTTCATATTAAAAAATTATTTCAATGGATGCCAAATTAAAAAAAATTGGTGAAGAGATTAAGAACAATGAATATGAAGTAAGGGAAAATGCCATTTGCAAATCTGAGGTCTGGAAAAAGTTTTCATTTATAAATGATGAAAACTGCAATTTTTTTTTATTAAATTATTTTAGGCAAAAATTAACACTACCTACGACGGTCCCAAGTCCGTGTGCAAAATGTGGAGTGTTGGCGTCAGGTCGGAAACCGGCTGTAAAAACCTACTCCAAAATGATGATAGTTTCAAATAAAACTCTACAACAGAAAGCTAGGGCGTCCTCCACAAACGACGCACACTGCATCTCCCGCCAGTGAAATGCGAATAATACACTAGGGTTACCGCCTGACTCACAACGAAGGCGGTTAAGGAATTTGGTTATGGATAGAATGCGAATAACATGATGGAAAATGTTGGTACGTTGACTGGAAAGAGCTTCGAGGTCGCACAAATGCTAAAAAGAAGAAAAGTACACATCGCCTGCCTACAAGAGTCGAGGTGGAATGGAACTAAAGCTCGGGAGTTAGGAGAATGATACAAGTTATACAGTGGGTCACCAAATCGTAGAAACGGGGTCGGTATCGTTCTAAGCGAATCCTTCAAGGACAAGGTGGTGGAAGTCAAACGATGTTCAGACAGGTTAATGTGAGTGAGGATTGCAGATCAAGGAGGCCTCCTAACCGTTATGCGCGCGTATGCTCCTCAAATTGGGTGTATGGAATCATAGATATATTCTTCGATTCATTGGAAAAAGAGATGCAAGGAATACGACAGGAAGAAAAGCTAATTAATGGGGCGGACTTCAACACCCACATAGGAAAAGATCGTCTCGGGTATGAACGAAATCATGGAGGCTATGGGCATGGTCTGAAGAACAAAGAAGGAGAAAAACTTCTCCAAATATCCCAAGTATATGACATGACGATCGTTAACACTTATTTTCAAAAGCGTGAAGATCATATTGTGACTTAAAGAAGTGGAAAGAATTTTAGTCAAATTGACTATCTGCTTATACGGCGAAAGGATTTATGAAGGATCAAAGATTGCAAAGTAATACCGAGAGAAGAAATCGTCAGGCAACATCGTCTACTTGTCATCGATCTTGAAAGAAAAGTGTTTCCGGAAAGAAGAAATGTTTATGAACCTCGAATTAGGTATGAAATGCTAAAGGACACGCCGACGAACGATAAATACCATCAGAAAGCCTCCAGTGCCAGGAAGTTAGAACGAAACGTAGACGGCGATTGGGAGACGCTAACTGCGGACATAAAGGAAACGGCAATTTAGATCTAGGACAGACCAAAGGAGGCAAAGCTTTGAATAAGGAACTATGGTGGTGGGACCAATCGGTTAGGGATTTCATCGAAAGAAAGAAAATTCTATATAGACGGTGGCTTAAATCTAAAAGTCGGAGGATTAGTAATATAGGGAGGCAAAGAGAGCCGCGAAGAAGGCCGTTGCAATAGCGAAGAATGCTGCGTACACCGAGATGGCAAACAAACTGGATCATAAAGGCGACAGGCTATGTACAAATTGGCCAAGATAAGGGAGAAGAAAAGTCGCGATGTCGGAGTCCTTAAAATAGTCAAAAACGAGGAGGGTCCCTTTTTAACAAGATATTGGGAGAAGAACGAATTCATAATCAATGGAGAGCAAGCACGATTATACCCTTATTCAAAGGCAAAGGAGACCCTCAGGAGTGTGGTAATTACAGAGGTATAAAGCTAACTTGCCACTCCTTGAAACTTATGGAAAGGATCTTAGTAATAAGGCTGAAGAACGAGGTGGAAATATCGGCTAACCAATTCGGATTTGTGGCCGGCAAATCTACAATCGATCCAATCTTCGCACTAAGACAAATGATGGATAAATATGGAGAAAAGAAAAGAAACCTACATATGGTCTTTATTGACTTGGAGAAAGCTTATGACACGGTCCTTCGCGATTTAATATGGTGGTGCTTGAGAAAACAAAATATCCCTGACGCATATGTACGGCTTATGAAAAATATCTATGAAGCCTCAACTTCTTGCGTAAGACAGTTGGAGACTCTAAACCTTTTTGGGTTGAAATTGGATTACATCAAAGATCTGCAGTCCTTTTTTATTCAATATAATTATGAACACGATAACGAGAGACATCCAAAAGCCATCTCCTTGGTGTATACTATATGCCGATGATATAGTACTGTGCGAAGAGACAAAGGAGAAAGTGTTCGAAGAAGCCGAAAATTGGTCAAAACGATTAGCTGGATATGGTTTAAAGGTCAACAATCGAAAACGGTATACATGGAGATGAACGTTACAGGCACCCCATCGCTGGATGACCAATTAAAGTACCCAAAAGTAGACAGGTTTACATACCTAAGCTCGATGCTACATCAAGAGGGAGGTTGCGCAAAAGAAGTCAATGCACGGATCCAAAAAGGATGGCTTAAATGGCGAAGTATATCCGGTGTAATGTGCGACAAGAAGATGCCAATATGGTTGAAAAGCAAAGCTTACAAATTCATCGTAAGACCGGTGTTACTCTATGGAAGTGAAACATGGGCATTAAACTCTACGGAAGAAAAATTATTACAAGCTACGGAGATGAGAATGATACGGTGGAGCTTGGGGTATACTATACTCGACCATATGACGAATGACTGTCTCAGAGGTATTCAACCTATGGCGGATTGATAAACGAAAATCGGTTAAGGTGGCATGGTCATATAATAAGAAGGGAGACTAATGATGTAAATCGAAAAGTATTGGACATGGAGGTGCCGGGGAAGAAAGGAAGAGGACGACCTCGTGTTACGTGGAAAGGTCAAGTAGACAAAGTTATGATGACTAAGAAGATAAATCCGGACATGACCCTTACTCGATCAGGATGGAAGAAACTTATCAAAACAAACCCCACGACTGTGGGACCATATGCATGATAAAGTATAAGAAGATTTTAGGCAAAAATTAGCCAGAAAGGCATAAACGCGTATTTACAATATAGAGTAAAAAGATTCAATTAACAATTGATAACCTTTACTGTTTCCAAAAAACTCAAAAGTTGTGCCAAATTAAAAAAATGAGTGTACAAAGGTGCTCACCCTGTTTTATGGACGTGATTTGAGATCATTTGATGCAATTCATGGAGAAGACTTTGTGATTGTTGCCAATATTTTGCCAAAATTGGCTCTATATATTGAAATATTGATAGGTTAAAAGCATCATTCCAAATCCTACGACAATTTCTGGAAATTTAATAGATATTGCTGATGGTATACACAATAAATTATTTCCGAAATATAACGCCTATATGAAAAAGGGTCGATGTGCTGATAACAAATATATGAAAATATGGTTAAAGTATTTATAATTTTTAGATTCGATTATATTTTAACCTTATTATAATATTTTTTACAAATTAAATTAAATGCAATTAATATATATCTTGATTAGATTATGGCCGTCAAATAAACTTTAAGGTGGCGATGAATAAATACACGTATTTTTTTTTAGTTATTATAATATTCAAACTCAAATTCTAAAATTTTATTCGGGCTTGGGTTGGACTAAAATATGTGTGCTCGGGATCGGGAAATTCGAGCTCGGGCCGGGTTTGAGCTGCGAAAAAATTACTTTGCATACCTCTAATTGGAGATAAGTGGCCATAAGAATTGACTGGTAACCCCCTAATTTAATACATTAATTTTTATCTCAAAATTGGTCAAATATGTATATTTATGATTTGTATATATAAGTTGATTTATTAGTTTGACCAGCTCAATAAAAAAAATATTGTAAAATTGTTTTGAACTTAAGAGTCTTAAAAGTAATTTATGAATGTACAGAATGGCCATGTATTAAGTATTAGTAGCAAAGGAATAAATAAATAAATAAATTAATCTCTCAGTGATTGCATCTCTTCTCCCCTGCAAAATTTCAAAGGATTCTTTTACTTTGGATTCACGCATTCAAAATTTCAGACAAATGAGCCCAGAAGTCCTTAACTCAATAAATAAAGGATGCCGTATCAAACATCTTTCCCCGTCTTTGTGATCTCCAGATTTTTGCACATCCCATAAACAAAAAATATCACAAAAATTATCAAACTTATGCAATGAATTTTAAACATAGACGTACCCAGTTTTGTTAACCCTCCCCCTCTCCCACTATTTGGTGCTAGATTAATCGCACTTCAAAAACAATGTATACAACCATCTTCCCCGCAACACCTTCTTATTCTACTGGCTCCCTTTTTCCGGCATACACTAAATATTTTTTTGCTTGCTATCAATTTCCTAGAGTTTTACAATTTAAATCTAGTTGAAGGCATTTAACAGGGTGACCCCCTCGGATCCTTACTCTTTAGTCTGGAATCAATGGCATAATTAAATCTATAAATGCACCCTCTCTCTTTACGTCTTGTACATTATGATAGAATCTTGAGTGATTCCAGTTTTGAAATCGACTAAGCAGTTAACATATTTCACGAAATGGGCACATCCTTGGACTCTCGCTCATTCCGAGATAATCCAAATTCATTCAATTAAATTCAAATGCTCCTGACACTCATGATTTCAAATTCAAGGTACTAATCTAGGATCTCCTGCAGGAAATTATCAGGCAATATGCACCTTCCATAACTTCATTCTTGACATCATCCATAAATTGGAAAGCATCTTACTCTTCTTTCACATACAAATCTTTTTTCTTGTTAAAATTCTTTTTTATTCTAAGGATTCTCTAGGCACTCAGTTCCACGCTGATTTTAAAAAACTCTTATCCACTCAGAATATGTGAAGATGGAATACCAAATTTGGCGGATTGGGCATTAGATCTCCTATCGACCTAGCTATAACATATTTTATATCGATAGTCAGAAGGATTGAGATGCGCCTGTAGTTGCTTGCTGCGTTGAAACATTCTTATCTAGTTTGTCATCTACTGACGCACCCTATTCTCTTCCCTTTCAATGGTACTGAACATGAGTTTATCCATACTATTCCCTCTGTTAATATTCAACTTCAACCTTCTAACAAAACTTACCCACGCTTTTGCTATTCGTATTAACTGCTCCATCACCCATTCCCACATGTGACCAGGTTGTAATTCATCCGTAGACATGAAGGGAAGACATAACACTGTAGTTCCTGCATTGGTTATTTTATCAGGCACACACAATGTAACTCAATCACCCAGAGCCATGAAATCACAAATACCTTCCAAACTAGAACCTCCTGGTCTTTTCTGATCCGACGGTTAACTTCCTGATGGGATCACCATTCAGATAAGACTAATCATGTATTGACCCCCTGACCCCCTCCAATCAAGCCCCCACTATTTTGGATCACAAAGAAAAACATAAAATTTCAAAATGAACAGAAATTTTGAACGACCATTGTTTCATAATAATATTTCGACCACATTTACCAAATTCGGAAGCTTGCACTAGCTTTAAAAATATAGACACTCAAATCAGTCAACTCGCAAGAGAACCACGAGAAGAGGTTTTCCTTCAACAAAGTGGCCCTAGCCATCAAAGTGAACTCATTAGCTTCAATAGTAGCCTACTTTTCAAAGAGCTATCTTAGATTTTTACTTTTTATTTTCCTCTCAGTTTATACCATATTAGCTCTTTATAAAGTTTTTTCTATTTGTTTTTTTTAAATATTTAACATATTTGGTATATGCTATTTTAATATGTAAATTTTTTTAAATAGATTATATTAATTACAATTCTGATAATTAAATATTTATTTAAAATTTATATCTTTGGGGATACAAAAATATAGTTTTTATTATAAATAAAATTCAAAATTTTAATTATAACATCATTATAATATATAATGTATATTTTAAAACTGATAAAAACTAATATAGAATAAAATTTTATTATGTATATATAAAATTTATAAATTATTTTATTATAAAAATGTGTTGAAAGTTGTTATAAAAAATTTCCAAATTTTTTTAAAATTTTAAGTTTAAGGTTGAAAGTTATTATAATATTTTTAAATAACAAGTTTGTTATGCATTTTATCAGAGGCTATGTATTTGAGATATATCAGCAGATTCAGCACTTATCGATATTAGTGATAAATATTTTACAATAAAATGATATGGCCAGTTATTTCAGGATATATGATCATTCAACACATGCCTAGGTTGACTGGTATAAATAATGTAGATCAAAAACTATAATATATAGAAATTAATTTTAATTTATTATGGAGATTAAGGTTTGGGCTATTGATAATAAATTATTTTGATTAATAGCAATTTTTAACCATGACATTAAAAAAATAAAGGTAATTTTTTTTATTCCTCCTTGTCCATGATATCCCATAATAAAGTCGTCGATCCATCCTCTTCCCTATGAGCCATAGAGACACGTTTTGCCGGGTTATTTATGATCCGTTTCCCTTTCACTTCGAAATAGAAACTTCAAGTTATAGTGAAACCTAATGGATGATTTAATGAACGTGGGAAAGGTTTAGAGGACAGGAATCAAGAGAGCGGAAAGAAATCTAGTCATTCCATAAATGATATTAAATTGAATATTACTATTATAAAACATAAGTTCTCAAAAAAAAATGTAGCTTTTTTTGCTTTCCAAAAAATTATAACAATATAAATAACATACCAATCTTGTAAAGTAGTTAACTTGTAGATAACAATTTGTAACATCAAATTTAACACAATATATATTAATAGTGAAAGAAAAGGTATAAAACCAAATAAGCTCGTATCTGGATATAAATGAGATAATTCATTTTGAGAGTGACTTATAGATGCTAAAAAAAATGAGATTTAAATATAAATTATTTTACAAATATCTATTAATATGGTTAGTTGAATTAAATCAAAAAACAGATTTTGGGCATCAGGAAAGTCTTGTCTAATCTGAATTACATAAATTGTTAAGAGAGTTTAACAATCTTAAAAAATACCCAACTTAGCACTAGAGTAGATACCAATTGTAGGCAACTATAAACAGCCACATATTGAAATACACCAAATGAAGTTGACAAGGCTGCACGGCCTTCTCTTTATATAAAATATAATTTGTAATTATTAACTATGCGATAATATAACTAAATACCTTAATATAACTTTAACTGCTTTAATGTTCGGCTGATTTGAAATAAAATTAGCTGCTATAGATGTTTCTGCTTCAGATAATGATATGCCAGCATGTGCTTCCTTGAGTGCCTACAAAATTATAGAAATTAACTTAGAATTAAAAATTACTCTGCAATCATTTGATCCATCTCCACACATAGCCACATAATATTCCATTTCTTTCATATGCTCTATTAACTGTGCTTTTTGCTCGGGAAGCATCCTTGAAAAAATGCCACCTTTAACCATCAACTTTTATTAAATAAAATATATCTTTAAAATTCTTGTAAAAATACTTTAGGTATAATATCAGGAAAATATTTTCTTAGCATATCAAATGATTCACCTGTAATTGCTAATGTATATGAATTCTCTTCGATATATTCGTTATCAAAATAATCTATCGTACCTATTCTCTTAATTAAATTCGTAATATTAGATTAATTATAATAAAGTGTAAACCGAAGCATCTCCTCTCTCATTATCTTGAATAAAATCGTGAGTATATCTTATTTCTTGAGCTTTTCCTGGTCCCCCTTCTGCATGAATAACAACTACTTTTTCATTTTTTTTAATTAAACCGCACTGCTTAGCTATTGATATAGTCGTATGCATTCCATCTCCTATAAATCTTTAATATTTATTTGTGTTTAATAAAAATTACCCGTGGCGATGGCCATTCTCATTTTGATTTTCGCTAAATCTTGTATAACTGGAATTGTTTCAGGTTTCAAAGGGTTATCCATAATTAAAAATCCAAGGAACCACAAATTACATTCAATTAATTCTCTTATATTTTATAAATCATGACAAAAGAACATATAGCAATTAATATTGCTAAATCAACGGGCCAGGCAATTCATATACAAAAAATTAACTGAAAATAAATTACAATATGATTTTTTCTTTGTATAAGAAGTGCCTAACTAAAATGCTAAATAAATCTATAAATTATATAATATTCATAAAAAATTTGAAAGTTTTATTTATGATAAGATTCATTTCCAATTATAAATACACAATGCTGTTATCATACATACTGTTATCATTAACTGATATTTAAACAAGATTGATTTATAACAGTTGTTATAAAAATAAATAGCTTTTATAATGGAAATATAAAAGCCTTAATTGACATTGAGGGAAAATTAGATATGGTAGACATTAAAAATTGCCAGGTAAATTAGTACAAAAATTTAAAAGGCTGGGCCTGACTTTTCTATTATAATTGGATGAGCGGGAGCGGGCCTATAAATTAGTTCAAAAATTTTCGTACTCAAATCAACACTTGAATAACGAGTCAGGTAACTTGTGCAAATTTCATATAATTATAGTTTCGGACGGGGTCAGGATGGGCAATTTAAAAAATATTATTACAGGCTGGGTAAAATATTTTAAGGGCCTGGCAACCAGGGATCCAAACCGAAACGAATATCGGTTCGGTTCAGGTTCAGTTAAAATAACGGTTCAAGGTTTCGGCTCGGTTCGCAAAAAATAAAAATATCGGTTCGGTTCGAACCTCTAAAAACCGGTTTAAACGCTTTTGTATTCAAACCATTCGAATTATGTATAGGGAAAATTTTTTTTTTATTTCATAATAAATAAAAACACATTCAAAAATTCATTTTTATTAATTGCACATTATAAAATAATATTTAATTTATAAATATATCAAATAAATATCAATGATTAATTTTAATATGAACAATTACTTAAAATTTTTTATTAAGCCGCACAATTAATATATTTTCAAAATTCGTCTCACTCAAATTACATCTACAAGGAGATAATATAAATTTAATTGTTGAAAAACATCTTTCCACAATAACTTGGGTAGCCGGCACTGCCAGTATGATATCAGATTTGATGTGTCATTTATAATACTATATGTAAATAATCTATATATTGGATTTAATTTTTCTCTAGTCATTATAATTTATAAGCTTAAAATATTTAAAAAATGTAGTAAAATGGCAATATACTAAAGTCTATAAAATTTATGACTGACACTTATTAACCAAATGTGATTGATAATAATCCTTAAAACAATTCGAATATAATTAAAATTTTAGCAATATACTAGTAATAACTTACACATTCTTTTATAAGCATAAAATTATGAGACTCGAACCGGTTCAGAGGCATTTTAGCGGTTCGGTTCAGGTTCGGCTAGAAATTTTTTATCTGTTTAGGTTCGGTTTAGGTTTGATAAAAATACCGAGTTTTAGCAGTTTAAGGGTTCGGTTCAGGTTCGGTTTGGATCCCTGCTGGCAACTGTGTAAAAATTCTTATTGGTCCGATTTGTGCCTGACTTTGCAAATCTCTATATGGAAAATAATTATCAACTAAATTATGGCATGATTTTTTGTTAATTAAAATTATTTCTATGAATAAATTAGAATTAAATAAAGATTGTATAATTTGAGGATCTTAACAAGTCATCTCGATTTTTGTATTTATTTAACAAATTATAATAGTACTGAAATGAATCATTTTGATAAAAAATTCATAAAGTGTTTAATTTGCTTAACTTGCATTTTGATTTTATCAAATAAATTAATGGAAATAGTATTATCTCAATTTTTTATTTAAATTGATCTATAAGTTCTTATATTTGAATCTATAAAATCCTTTTTTCCAGTTTCAATAAATTTGGAGCACCTGAATTCTATACCATACCAACGATATAGTAAATCATGACTCATAATTAGAAAAAGGCAATTATATTTAATTAAGTTGATTTTGTAAAAAATTACAAATTCATTTATTTGAGCATAATGTAAATTTTATGTACATTATTTATATTATATATAAGAAATGGAATGGCGTAACTAAACTAATAAAAAAATTTCCCCCATTCTAAAAATGAATATAATATGTCATTTTATAAACCATATTTTATCAAAAGTTTAAGTTAACAATTTTTTATATAGTTGACTATAAGAATTTTCAAGAAAAAAGTTTTTTAAATAGTGAAAAACGGGAATTATTTTTTTGAAGTCGAATCTGAAGCCTATAAAGGTGGGTCCTAGAGCTATATTAAAAAATTGATAGTGATAAAAGACTGCCAGTAGACCCCCTCCACCCAATAACTCCCATAAAGAAAATTCTTGATACGCCAATGATATACGAAATAGTCCTATTCAAAATAAAAATCGAATAGTAACAAAATAGTTTAGTTTGTGAGACATCATTCTGTTCTCAAGAGAATTTAATTAAGTACAAGCGGATAAATGAAATATATTTATAAAGGCAACTTAGAATTATGGTTATATAAATATTAAAAATTTTAAGCTCTAGGGCCATTCAAAATTTAGAAAATGAAACTCGCCTAAATATTATATTTTTTAAATCGCATGACATCTGTACATTTATATCATCTTGTCATTTATAATAAAAAAACCTATCGAAAATTGATGAAAAACTAATCTCTTTTATCGGCCATTTCCAGACAGAACGTTTTTCAAAGCGATTTTCAGCTATTTTATTTATTTCCAAACAAACGGATATTTGATTTTTTTAAATATTCTAATATAAAAAAAATTCGACAATGAAAAATTGAAACATGTCTCAAAAACCGTTTTGAAAAAACGTTCTTTTTGGAAATGGCCTAAGAAGTTCTAGATGAGTAATAAATGACAAATAAAGTAAATTGGAATGAGTTTAAAACCTGGCTAAATTTTTCACATTTTTTGTATCAGCTAATCTATAATCATCCAAATATTTAAATCCAAAAGCCAGTATCCTGAATCCTTGATTGGCATGTGATTCATATTCTTCTTGATAACATTCTGGAACTTTTTAATAATTTTATACAAGGTATATAAGTGAAGCTAGATTTTAATTTTTATCCTCTAAATATGAACATTATATAAAAGGCATTTCTTAGAAAATCTAAAATGTGCCCATTCAAATCAGGACACATCTTATCATTTCCATAATGTAATTTTTCTTAGGGTGAAGCTAATAGTTTCTAAATATTTTTTGCTCTTATTGTCCAATTCAGAGGGAGGCTATAAAGTCTAGGGAGAGGAGGGGATAACTAAATTAGGAATAAATGTATAGAAACAGGATGGATCTTAATTAATACTATCATTTAAGTCCCTCTCCATATCGCTCTCATAATTGTTGGATATATCATTTATATATTATTTAGATGATTTGCCAGCTCATTTAAAGTTTGAATTAGCTTTGTGGGCTATTTGATCACTAGATTTATTAACATCTAGGTTTTTTTTTCATTTAATTCCAGTCTGGAGAATAATATTAGGTATTTAACCTAGTCCTTTGCTACTTCTTACCCGCTGCCAAAACCCCTGGGGGTAGTAAAAACATTTAAATGGCTTTAGCAAATTTTGATTTAGGACAAAGCATTATCTATAAGTTATATGTAAGAAAATCCTCTAAAACTTTGTAAAATTTGAAATATACCAATAAATATTTTTGTAAAAAATGTGAGAAAAATTTGCTTTTGGCCGATATTGCTTGAATTCGGAAAAAGATAATTAAATTACATTTTACCAATTTAAAACATGGAGTCCTAAAGAAAGAAGTGACAAACGATTGTCTGCTTAACCCCCACCTCCCTTACTCGTTTTATAAATTCACTGTATTCTTCGTTGTTATTATAATTCTTTCAGTATTTGGAAATGAAAAACAGTTAACCATATAGTCATATATTTATAGAAATCGATGTATATTCATTTTCATTTAATAAATCGATATCGATCTTAAATCCTAATTTATTAAAGAAATTTCATGTAATTAACTCTCGATTAGTTTTGTTAAACCCACTTTAGTCATTGCGAAATAAAAATTTTAGCCTATAAAAATATTACCTAAGCCTGTTTCACCAAAAGTGGGTCAAACCTTTCTACTATCTAGCACTATTTCGAAGCTCGGGTAACCTTTTTTCTATCCAAAATCTTTATTTAGAAGTTTTTAAAAATCGGCCAAATCTAGATTTTTTAACAATGGGGTTTATAAGCACCCAGGTCTTAAAATAAAAATATATGTAGATATTTTGAGCCGACATTTTCAGTAGCCTTTATTTTATACTAAACTATATTTCTAAAATGTTTCTTAAATTTTTATTAAATAAATACAAAACAACATTATTTGGAGGTAGATGCTTAAATTATGACTTTTATAAAAAAAAAATTATACAGAATAAATTTATATTGATATTTAAATCAGTGACATATAGCTGACAAAGTTCAGCCCGGATTTTTTAGAAAAAATTTATTTCCAAGCCCGCTCGAATTTTTTTAAAAGTCTCAGGTATTATATTTTTAAACTTAGTTGAACTTTAAAATCTCGTCATTTTAAATAATTTGGCGGTATTTTGTAAATTGTTTCAAATGTAAATTAAAATGTGAGCAGCAAATGAATGTTATTAATTGATTTCTATTATTTTCCATCTGGTTAAGTGATGTGAATTTATTTTTAAATAATTAACTCAGCCCGGCTTGGGTTTTATGAAAAAATATTTATAACAGCCCGGGGTTTGTATGGGAGACCGGGGATAGTGTGTTCCCGGGGTAGGTATTTCCTTCTTGGATAATTTAAAAATTAATAAAGTTTAAGTTTTGAAATTTAAGCAAAATATGTATTTTAATAAGGTGCTTAAGTAGGTCCAAAAATGTTTCGAAAATTGCTAATGAAAAATTTTAAATGCAAATTTAAATTTTAACATACCAAATGTAATTTTTAAAATTTCACATTTTCACGAATAATTTTTTTTATAAACGTTGTTTAGGCTTAATATTAATTCTATATGATAATGGACTATATATTTGATCATATATAAAAATATTGACACAATTTATGGTAATTTAATATCTTAAAATTAAATTTTAATTAATTGTGAAGACCTGGGGCAGGTTTTGGCGGGATACGTATTAGCCATTTTTAAGCAGGGATTATTTTGAATAAAAAATATCCAACTAAATTTATAAAAATATTAGAAGTCACTAGTTTGTCTAGGACCACTAATGACAATATGAAGATGATTGATTTATTTTTTGGGATTAAATGACAGATTTAAGTGACAACAAGTACTTCCGGGTGATATATGTGATATAGATGAACCCTAATAAATTTAACATAATTGACAATTTATTTTTATTTATTTACTGTAAAGAATAAAATTACGTTAAAACATTTTAGAAAAATTGCTTTGTCTATTTTTTTATAGCACTTCAATTTTTTATGGACAAACTGTCCCCGGTCTCATCTTTTTCCTAACTTTTGCCAATGGATTTAAATATTTATTAAATAAAATGTATGATTATGCATGTTTTAAAAAGATTTTTGGAGTAAAAATATGAAATACAATGTTATAAATTTGCTCTTTTTTGATATTCTTTTGCCTTTACAATTATAAAATTTAGTATTAAATTTTCTTTCGACAATTAAAGAGAAAGTGATTATTAAAATATCGATACCTATATAACAGTTTAAAAATGGGGGGTAATTATTTTATTCTACATTACCCAATGACTATAGCAATCCTTTTAGATTAGCCTGAGACAGTCCTTTGTTAATTGGCCTAATTATATAAGGGTTAAATTATTAATATCAAGCAAATTTATTCATTTTACTATCAGATCATGTAATGCCACCCATTTAAAAAAAATCGTGATTTGGATAGTTATTGTTTTAAAAGTGCTGTCTAAGCTAAACAGATAGATAATTTAAAAGGGAAAAATATTATATAATTGTATGAGATAGGCCCAAATATGCATGGCATTTAATAAAAATTAAAACTTTACTCGAATGAGGTACACATAAACTGTGGATCATTTCAGGAGACCCTTTGCAATAGACTTCAAAATAATTTGTCCCATAAACATTGCAAATGATACTCATCCTTTGCAACACAGACTCAAACGGAAAGCGATGAACAACACCAATATGTGGTGTATTCTAAAAAAACATTGTACAGTTAAATGCATTTTATTTAAACTTTATCTTCCTTAGCGGGCTTTAGTATTATTTTAATATCTGATTTTAATAGTTTGTAATGCTTCATTCTCTAAATAATAAAAATCAACAAATTATATTGTTAAATTTTACCCATTTTGTGCTCTCAAACATTTTTATATCTAATGGGTCGCCAGATAAAATATCATCTGTGAGGGTTAAAGTGTGGCAAGTAATGAGTGCCCTCAAGAATGGACAGAATTCTAATTTATCTGGAATTTTTAACTTCTCATTAAATCTATAATTTGATGAAGGGTAAGGTGTTTTAAAAGCAACTGATATATTTTGTTTTACTTCATAGTGTAATAATCTGTATCAACAACCCCTAAAATATCTATGTCGTTTTCGGTTAGAGTACCTGTCTATTTAAAAAATAATATGTTAAATAATACGTTGGGATTAAAATTGTATTTATACTTTGTCAAAAATAATTGCATTAATGGCTCCTGCTATCGTAATAGCATTGGTATTTAAAACCAAAATATTTTCTTTTCTCAATCTGTTGTAAGCTATCACGATGCCTATAGCTAAACAGGCTGGAAGTGCGGGGGACACTGCAATCGTCAATAAATCCAGGCCATCCAATATTATTGAAATCGGGGTCAACTCTCTGCCATCATTAGCAGCCATGGAAAACTTAGTATATAGCATTTTGATTATTTTATAAATATATATAGCATAAATTCTCTTACGTCTAGTGCCATTTTAAAAATTATTCCAATCACTGCTAGTGTAGTCAAGCAACCAATATACAATGAAATATCTCTGCTAAATTTAAAAACCGTTGGCTTGGGATATATGATATATCTAATCCTGTCTCCGTTGAGGGTGTTAAAACCTAGTTTAAAACAGTTATCAAAAATAATCATTTATTATGTTTAATAAACATTCTTCGTTGATTACTCATAATTCTTCAAAATAAAATTTGGATATTAATATTCCATTCTATTTACATTAATAAACCTCCAAAATATTATCTTAAATATGTTTGTATAATAAAATATCTTTCTATAATATTAATGAGATGGAATAATTTTTTAAAAAAATGCAGTTTCTAAAAAATGTATGGAAATGGAATTAGAACCCTACAATATCAGTGGCATATTCTGTTATATTTACAAAAAATTGTTAAAACAGGCAAAATGACATATATTAAAAGTTTGAAAGCATTCACTGTATTCCTAAAAATTATTCGGCAATACCTGTTCTCATGACAACACATTCAATATGTTGCCTGTTAGCGTCAACATCTGTTTGCATTATTTTACACCCGCATAATAAAAGATGCTTAGAATCTCTTCTCATTTTAAACATTTCCATTTCCAAGGGTTTAATGGGTATTTTATAACTAGGCATACTTTCACCTATCCAATTAATTAAAATAAAATAAATGACAGTAAATTGAAGATTTTACCTGTTAGCATTGCTTCACTTACGACACAATGACCTGACAATAATAATGCATCGCAAGGCATAAATTCATACCCTCCTCTCGGTATATTCAACAAATCCCCAGGAACTAACCGGTCCGAAGATATAAAAAGATTTCTCGGTATAGGATCTCCTTTATTTTATTTTTTTTAAAGTTTACAAAATTAAAATTATCTATAAAACTTATTTATTGGGGATGTTGGGGAGGGGGAGGGGGTGGGGTATTTGTTTAAAATCGGATTTTTTCTATGTACAATTCTTCTTTTTTCTTTCTCTCAATTAGTATGCTATGCTTGATATTAAAGGTAAATAATATGAGACTGTCTAACATTGAATTTAAGGCATTTTTTAAAATTATTAATAAATCATCTCCAAAATTCTGAACAAAAACTTAGAACTTTCTATTTAAGTTTAATTTGAACTAAATCATTACGAAATAGAATAATATAATTTTGAATAATCTGAAGGAAAATTATCATTCCTAAAAAAGGTGCTAGAAGGTTATTGAAATTACCTAAAAGTTTAAAAAACCATTAACTAGTTTTATAACATGTCATTCTGTGTCATTACTCCTTTTTATTTAGGAGGTGATTAAAAACGTGCTCATAAAAAAATTTTCAAAAAAGGACTACATTGATATTTTCTTATAAAAATTAATTCATATTTTTTAAATATACTGGGGGGCTCAAAAATAAAAACTAAACTAGGGGATGCTGATTTTATTAACTTTATTAAATTTTCCTTTCAAATTCTTGTTTATAGTGATATATTAACTACATATTTGGGAAAGAGAGGGGTAGGAGGGTTTGTATAGGGGGATTTTTTAGAACAAGCAAATTTCCAAAGGGGAAGGAGCGAAATTACTTCTAACCCCCCCCCCCCCCCCGGACTACGCCTATGCCGGCTTGTAAAAAGCATATTCTGGATTTTTTAGGAAATTTTGCCCTAAACTTTAGAATTTAATACAATTTCTGTTAGTTCTTTCCACAGATTTTTTTAAAAATTATAAATGACTCAAAAGTTAACGACAAACATGTTTGAAATTCATAGTGTAGGAAATCTAAATATGCTGGAATAAATTTCTTATAAAATCATATTTTTAAATAAAAACGCGCTCAAATAATTTAAAGTTGAAAAAATAACACATTGGCGGAAAAATTACATTTTAAATTTTAAAAGAGCTAAATAAATGATATAAAATTATGAAAATATTAAAACAATTTAATTTGTTAAGAGCGCATTTTTAAATTTGAAGATTCGATGAAAATGTATTTATATAATTCAGACAATTTCGCTATAAACTTTTGAGTAATTTTATTAAAATTACACATTTGTAAAGCACATTACATAACATTTCAAAATAAAAGAAACTGGATAGAAAGAATAGTGAGATTAATATGTCAATGGTCATTTTTTCTTCTCTCACTCTTAACCAAAAATAATTATTCCTTCAATTATAAATTTTTTAGAAAAGAAGAGTAATGAACTTGGGCCAAAAATGATTTATTTTACAGATGCTCATATTGTATAGTTATTACTCTTACTAATATATATTTTTTTATATAGTAGATACAAATTTTTTTATTATGAACAAACAAAAAGTCGATTTATAATGACAATTACTTTAAATTGATATTATATTTTGCCTCTGGTATATGGTAATTTACACATTGGTTTAATAAAATAATATTCCTGTTTATCAGAGTTGTTAAAGTAGCGCGCTAACTTTTTTGGTAGCTATAGCTAATAGCGGCTACTTTTTTGTAATTATTTAATTTTTTAGCGCGCTACTTTTTTTGAAAGTAGCTAAGTAGCCGCTACTTCGCTACTTTTAAAAAATATAATGAAGGTAAGTGTAAACATGAAAATTAAAATATAAAATCATAATTAATTATAATTTTTATAATTTATTATTTAATTTTGAAATTAAAATATAATTTCTTGTAATTTATATTTTCATTTGTATTACAAACCTAAATCACGTGTTAATAATTTAAAATGTCATCGCCTATGGATATCCAAATCGTTGAAAGTGATTCAGACAATGATATTAATGAAATGGAAGATTCCAGGGAAGAAAATGTTCTTAATAGCTATAATACAAATTTCCCATTCCCTAGATTTGAAAATTTTTTTAAATAAATATATAACCAAAACTGGTTTCAAATTTATTTGTTTAAAATGTAAAAAAAAATATTTCCTCAAATCAATCCAGTAGCTATAACCTCAAGAAACGCCTAAAGGTAAATTGTCTACATTCTAATAATATTTATTTTATAAGACTGCTCATGAGTTTTAAGGAAATGGAGAAACATCTAAATAATTTTGGTATAGGCGACTCTACATCCAAAAAGACTAATTCAATTCAAACCAAATTAATTAATAATGCATATGACAATATTTCTCATAAATTAGCTGATAAAGTTATTGTTGATTTTATAATTTATACAGTTCAGCCAATGTCCTTAGTTGATAATCCATCATTTACCATGATGATTAAAACTCTATCCCCTGGTACAACAATTTTATGCCGCCAGACACTAATGAATAAATTAGCAGATAACTTTAAAATGATTAAAGATGCACTAATAGTAGAGTTATCAGAGATATCATATATATGTACCACGGGAGATAGTTGAACACATAACAGAAGGTAAAAACTTATTTATATTTATAAATTGATCTGATTAAATATTTTTGAGCTTATTTGGGAATCACAGGCCATTAGCTAGACCCTAGAACTTTAAAAAGAAGATCTGTGGCATTAGCCCTCAAAATGATAATAGGATGCCAGACATACGATGTATACTTGCAAATAAAATTATTGATAATCTATCTTATATTAAAAATATGTATATAAGATTAAATACGCCCTTACCCTCAAGTGCTAGTGTCGAGAGATTATTTAATAAGGCAAAACTTATACTTTCTGATAGTCGCTCTAGACATGGCGATGATAATATTGAAATGATTTTATTATTAAAATGCAACAAATTACCATAAATATTTATTTTTATTACATAATTTTTTTTATAATCAAACTAACTATATTTTAATATTTATAAATGTTGATTTTTATATATTTACTATACAATAACATTATAAGCAAAAAATAAAAAATTTTTTTGTAAATTTTTTATATAAAAAGTAGCTAAAGCTACTTTAAAAAAATGGTGGCTAATAGCGAGCTACTTTTTTGACAAATAGCGATAGCGGTAGCGCGCTACTTTTAAAAGTAGCGTTTAACAACTCTGCTGTTTATTTTATAGTATTAATAATGATTGCGAAGAAGTGCATTCTGTGCAATCTGCTGATGAGTCTGTCTAATGATATTATCAGTTTCTGCTAAGAAGAAAAAAAAATATCCTCAAAAAAGGGGAAGACCGGGACACATCGAGATTTTATAAAATCCAATAATGCTGCAATTATTAATGAAGAAAAATTGATGAATTCTGTCTAATATATAATACTTTTTTTTAGAAAATTTTAGTTTTTAATGTATTTTGATTTTTCAAGTTTAAAAAGATAGGGTAGGTTGGAAATAGTAACAGAGTACATAAGACTACACATAGGAATATATAAAAAAATATAATTAAAAAACCTTTTATAATAAGGATTGAGGGAAAAACTAAAAATCTAAATTTTATGATATAATAAAATTTAGATATATTATATATCCAGTGTCGTAGACATAGGGGGGGGAGAGTAAACCTTCAACCCCCCCCCCCCCCCACCCAATGCCCACCCCCATGAAAAATAAAATTTTTACTAAATTGATAACACTGTGTGACAAATTTCAAATTGATTTTTTGGGAGAAAATAAAATAAACATTAAGACAGTTTTTTATGCATATTCTAAATCTGCTGTCAGTTTCTTTCTAGCACGTCAGGTTTTTTATTTATTTTAGGTTAAAGTGGCCAAAAAGGTCATTTTTAGCACTTTTTGAATGTTTATAACTTCGGTTCTAATGATGATCCCTACAACTAAAAAAATATCTTAATTTTTGCAGCAAACCTTCCTTATTATTATTATACATTTTTTTTTATAAAATCCTTACTCAATTTTTTAACAAACTATATTTTTTAAATTTACCTTTATTTATAAAATTTTTTTTAATATAGCTTACATTTAATATATATATTTATTGTGGCTTTCATTCTCAAAAAAAATTAATGAAAGAAATTAAATGTTTATGAAAGATTAGCGAAAAAATAATAATTCTTCTCCTTTCTTCCTACTCGTTATTTGGCATTATTATTTATTGCCCATACTACGGGTTCAAGGTACTCCATTGGAAAATCATATATTTAGATATAAATTGATTAAAAAAACAAATATTCTTAAATACATCTAAAAAAGATAAATATTAATAAAAAATATGAAAAAATTACCAATTATTGCATTTTAAATGAATTTTGCTTCAAAAATGCTCAATTTAAAAGAGTACAAATTAAAAAAGTGGGTACAGATATCTGATTTTGGTATAAGTATTTTTATATAATAAATAAAATCTATAATGAAATGAAATACTCTCTAAAATTTTGATATATTGTTATATGCAAATATTTAAAATAATTTTAACACAGCCTAAGATATAAGCAATTGAGTGTTCATCTTTTTACCCCTCCCCCCTATGATAAAATTATGGCTATGCCACTGTATATATCATCTGGATGAAAAAAAAATCGAAAATAAATTTAGGTATAAAAGCTTCTTATTTACTATAAAATTGTTATGTTGATGTGAGGGAGATAATTCTTGTCGATAGGCATTAACTATCAATCAATGTAAATTTCGTTTTAGGCTTAATTACAGGGTGCCCATTTAAAAAAGGAAAAGTATCAATCAAAAAAGAAAATAAATGGTTCAACCATTGATCTAATTTTTGCCCTTCGTAAACTGATGAAAAAATATGGGTAGATTAGAAAGGAACTGCATATGGTGTTTATTGACTTGTAAAAGGCATAGAATACCATACTCAGAAATCTGATATGGTGGTGTATGCGCAAAATTGGAATCCCGGGGTTATGTGGAACTCACTAGAGGCGCGTAGCCAGCTGGGGTGGATTCGGAATTTTTCGAAAAAATATATAAGGTCTCAGCCAGCAAGAGGGGGTGGGAGAGGGAGAGAAATCCTCAAACCATAGGAAGAATTTTTAAAAATATTAAAAAGCTTCATGAATTGTAAATTGCAAAATATTCTATTTCAATAGGTGTATTCTATTCTAAACATTAGCAAAAAGTTAATTTAAATACTTATTCCTTGTATATTAATATTTTATCTCAAGAAAATTTAAAGTTAGTTTTCTTACATTTTTAAACCTTAAACAGTGATGGATATAAGAAAATTTCATCACCCAAAAAAAATTCTATTTAATTTATCTCCACTAATAACTATGATTAGAAAATTTCTAGAGTGTGAAATGTTCAGTTATATTAATAGACAGAATTTGCTGAATATAATTTTTTAATTCGTGTTAAAAGAAAAATAAACTGAAAAAAGCCTGCACAACAAGATGGAGGCTTCGACATCAAGCTGTTACAGAATTTTTTGGATCTAGTAGAACTTATTTTGTATGCCTTTGTAGAACTATCAGAATCATTTGTTACACTATTTCACCTGAAGCTGATAGATTATTAGATTTAATATGACTACTGATGTTTTTCATTGGAATGTATTAATAAATATTTATTCCACAACAATGTTATAAAATATTTTTCTTTGGCTGAAGTTATGAGAATTGCGAATATTTTTATGTTACAACTTGGAAGACGACGGAAAAATATCGAACAGGAATTTCTCGAGATTTATGTAATTGCTGAGGTGAAAGTGAAATTATATGATTTTGAGATTCACAAGCCTTGATGTTACCTACAAACAAATCGTTCCAATATTAAAGTGGAAGATTCATTTTTGTAGAAAATCCTCTAAGAAATACAGTGGAAGCATTGCATACTTTAATATATATTTTATAAGTTTTCCAAATATATTAAAATTACTGTATATTTTGGCAATGATACCAATACAACAGATGAGAGGACCTTTTCTTCATTACATAGAATAAAATATATCAAAAGTATGACATCTTAAAATTGATTGAATAGGCTAGCTTTACTCATCGAGATCTAATCCCCAACACAAAATAAATTATTTTTAAATAATAGCGCATTCGCAAAGTTAAATTTTCATTTATGAACGATATTTTGACTAACCTTTTATCATTACAAAATGTTTAATTTTATATTTTATTGTAATTTGCATATATTTATTTAGTTATAATATTTTTTAACCGTATTATATTCGCTCTTAATATTTTGTATTTTCCAATATTTTTGTGTTCGAAATTATCATATTTTCAAATATGATTGGTTCTAATAAATTTTTTATGATGAATAGTTCTAAAATTTTTAATGCTCAAAAAAATCACAATGTAAAAAAAATTATCCCTGGCTATGCGCCTAATTAAATGTATGTACGAGGATTCTGCTTCAATAGTAAGAACGGCAGTTGGAGACTCGAGGCCGTTTCCCATAGATGTCGGGCGACACCAAAGGTCAGCGTTAGGTCTCTTCCTCTTCGTACCATCCTCTATACCATAACCGAGGATTTGCAGAGGTGCAGATGCCATTGATGCGAGGAAACCGAATTGATGCACCGCGGGCCGATGTTTGGGCAGTTAGGTTGGCAAAATATGGCCTTCGCATCAGTCCTAAAACAATATATCTGGCAACAAACGTTGCATGTCCATGTCAAGGAACTATATAAGTTGCTACATAATAGAAAGTTGAAAGGTTTAGCTATCTTGGGTCCACAATACATCAAGATGGAGGTCATCCTGACTTGGTTAACGCTAGGATACAGAAGGATTAGATAAATGAAGAATTATATCAGGGGTCCTTTGTGACAGGAAAATTCCACTGTGGCTTAAGGATAAGGCCTACCAAATTGTCGTACCATGGATGTGAAACTTGGGCATTGCGAGCTGGTGAGAAAAAGATGTGGGGGGTAATAGAAATGCGTATGATCAGATAGCTGGATCGTTGACCAATGATAGCATAAGAAAGAAGATGGGCGTGTCTCTTTTGTTGGAAAAGATAAAGGAGAATAGACAGAACTTGTATGGACATGTGTTAAGAACTGGCTTAATTAACTTAAATCGGCAAGTTCTCGATCTTGTAGTTAAGGGTCAACAAATTAGAAGCACATCACAACTAGCTTGGATTTCCCAAACCAATGCCAAGCTATATAGAAGGATAGAACGCGTTTTAAAGACCCCAACTAGTTTTAGGATTAGCACAATAAAGAAGATATATTTTAAAATTTTTATATAATATTACAAATTTTTTATTGTATTACTAATGTAATTATAGAAATTATATAACCAAATAAAGTTATAAATATGTTTAGAATTATTTTGACACGTATTTTCGAGAGAAAATTTAACTAAATACACCACAAATTCCCCCTCCCCTTTTCAAATATTTTTTTTAAATAAGAAAGTGTGGACTTTCATTGAGACATAATTTTTAAATAAAAATTATTCTAAGTATCCATTAAATTTATATAAGATAATATTTATGTTAAATTTGTTAAATTTTATTAATATATAAAGGACCATAATTCGGTTCATCCCAGTCTAAGATTTTGTATAAATATAAAGCTCTGGTATACATCTATAGTAAAATAATTTTGGGAAAAATAGCTATTATTTCTATGGCCATTTCCAGTTTGTACTTCTGGTTTTTTTGTATTAATCGGATTTCGATCACATTTATTTATATGCCATATTAAAAATATATTATTAAGTTATATAATAAAATTTAAATTATTGCCCTAACTTAGTTTATTCTTGAGATACATGAAAATAAATGAAGTGCATTTTGTCAAAAATGTATCATTTTTTACTCTTTAAACCATTTATTAGCGAGTTAGTGATGTAAGGGAAGTAAAATTTTATTTTTTTAGTTATAATATATACCACCAATATACAAAATTTTAAAAAATTCTGAGAGGGTCGGTTGAAACATTGGTTGATTTGATATGGAATTCACCATATATATGTCGTAGAGGTTTAATCTTAGATTTTCGCAGACCTTTAAAACTTGAATTATAGCTCAGGGTATTCAATTCTGAAAGATCTATTTATGCCAGAATCGCATTCCAACATGCATAGAGTACTTATCTTGTAAATATTAGACAGCTTTACTGTGAACATTTGAACACCTCATAATTTATATTAGATTTTTATATAAATTAAAAATTACAATAACATATGACGAAATTATCTGAAATTAATGGGGTAGGTACTCTACACATGCATAAATTAATTTATACATATAAAAGATAAAGAATTCCAGTTTAGATTATAACTTGTTTTTTTTAAATTGTACTTCCGTCCGTTTGATTGTGTAGTCAATACTTTGCCAACCCTTTCCTTCGCTCTCTTCCTACCTGCTTAGTAATATCACTGAATTCTATATATTCTAATATCAATATATAGATAAGTTCTAAATTTATCTTGATTTGGTTGATGATAGAATTACGCTTATAATTATTAAATAAATTGAAATATAATATTATTTAGTTATCAAAAATCTTAAATAATATGAAATCTCAATTATGTTGTAGATATTTAATCTTTTTAAATTTTAAACATTACCGGTAACTTTTCTTCGAACACAAACAATGATTGGGGGCCTAATATTCTCTTTTATTTGAATTTGCACCTATGTGAAATGAATTAAAAAGAATATTACCTGATATCAGTAAATATAAAACAGACTGCTGTAAACGCTATTTTAAATAAAGTAATAAATACCATTATTAAATGTAAAACTTTACTCTTTAAAATAAAATTATTATAGAATATTTTCAATTTTTTTTATAGGGGAGACTGGGGCAAGATGACAATTGAGGTAAGAAAGCGCTTATAAATAGTTAGCCCTATAATAACTAAATATATTAAATTTGGACATAAAATATATTTTTATTTAATACGTAATTAATTTATTTTTAATATTAGGCAAAATTAATTTTGGTCCTAATTTTTTAAAATCGATTTTTTTTGCTTATAGAAAATTAGTCGGCCTAATTTTTCAATATATATTTGATAGATTTTTGATGCCTAAATTCTAGAATAAATTGGGTCCAAACGTTTCGTATTTTTAAATATAATATGCTGAAATCATTTATGTTATTTAAATGACATATTTTAAGAATAAATTTTTATTGTTTACAAAATTAGATTTTGACGTAAGGTGATGACATATTTAAGATATGCTTAAAAGTGTATTATTTCTATTTTTTTAGTTTTAAAATTACTATTCAATCGGCTATTCTGAATTTTTAAAAGGAATAAGATGAGCTAGAACTCAGTCTAACAATATTTCGTAAGTAAGAATAATCATTAGAAATTATATTGAGGTGTAATCAGGCCATAGTCAGGAATTTCTTATTGGTGGGGGGGGGCAACTGTTTATTTAGGAAGGCCAATCTTTTTATAAATAAAACAAATTAGGCACTCAGGAATTTTTGCTATTTTATTGAAAATTTGTAAAAATATAAATATGCAAAATAAAACTATAATATAATATAACGAATTTGATTTTCAATTAAATGAATTAAGATAAATTTTGGGTTTTTTTCGTATGCCACTAAAATTATTTATTTTGGTCTATCATTTGACTTTTTAAACAATTGGAGTAAGTCAAAAAACAAAATATTAAATAACTTACGTTATGTTATATACTCAAATATTATAGGTGGAAATAAGTAATTAAAAATGTAAGGTGGCTGCCTTAGTATCTCCCGGTTCCTGAGAGTTATTCAGTTACACTCCATTAGGAATTTTTTAAAAAAAAGAATATTCGTCCTCTTCATATTAAAATAATAGTCTTCTTCATAAAATCTTCGTTCTCTTTAAAATTTTATATATTATTTTAATATTTGATATGTATTTTTTATAATTAATGTAAGTATGATAGCGTGATAGGAAGAAAGTAGTTTGCCAATTTTTAATTTTTAAACTTTACTAGAAGAATAAGTATATTCTGAAAAAGTATTTGTCCTCTTCATATAAAAATATTCGTCTTCTTTAAATTTTATACAATATTATATTAATTATATCTGCACCGTTAACTAGTAAGAGTATAAAGATAAAAATTATGTATAGTACTATAAGATTAAAAAACAACAGAAATCTTTATTCTTTTTTTGTAATTTATAATAAAAGCGAGAAAATGTTTTAATTATGAAAATCTTTAAAATATTTAATATGAAATACGATTTGACATGTTTGGCACATATATCTTGAGTGCGTATGGCAATATCTGCATCTATGTCTTTTCCATTTATTATTTTGAATAAATAATGTCCAGATGAATCATTAGGGTTTTCACTCTGTAAGGCAAAGTGGTTTTCGTGCCCTCTAATTAAATTTTTTTCAATTTTTACTGGTGTTCAAAAGAGGTAGTTAGTAACTTTCCTTTAAATGAAAGTAAAATCTTTTTGTCATCTTGATTCACGAATTTCCAAATTTTCCACGAATTTACCAAAGCTATATTGATAAAATTGATGAATATTGGTCACCACCATTTTTTGCCTTTTATTTTTATTCTATATATAGATATGGGATTATCACACAGATCAACTCCACCCATGTGTTTAGTGTTGTTAAACGGCTCGTTTTGAGCCGATTTTTAAAAACGGCTAACTTAATATTTCATCCAAAATAATATTACGCAAGCATTAAGATTTTGTTTGTAGGAGGAACAAAGGTTTTGACAACTATTAGTGAAATCTCGAGATTTAGGCAATATTTTTCTAGCTAAAATATTGAGTTAGCCGTTTTTAAAAATCGGCTCAAAACGAGCCGTTTAACAACACTACATGTGTTTGTTACAAGCAGTCATCATATTTGGTTGAGGAATTTTTGGAATACCCCTGAAACATTAGAGAGCATGGAGATGGTGTGGCAATGTCGATGTAACGGTCACCACCGAATTATCATTCCAACTAACTATAAATATTTAGTTTAATTTATCGAACCTATAATCATAATATCCTCTTTCTTTTTTTGCTCCTATAGATTCAACTGGGTAATGCTCTATACAGTTCCAGTTGTAAAATATCCCATTTGTTTTAAGTATAACAAAAATGAGGCAAATAAATTATTATAATATATATGATAATTTGGTTTTTGTAATGCCTTTAATAATTTTATGATTAAATTTCCACCTAATCTACATTCATATTTATTATCGCCCTTTTCCTTTATATCAAGTGAAAATACGTAACCATCGGAAGAAGCTAATATCCAAGATTTGTATCCGAATTTACTTGGTTTTCCTTATATGAGCATTTTGCAAGAATGTCATCCTCGGTAGGGTATCATCTGTTCATTTATTGATAAATGATGTTTGAAAATTCCGAATTGTTGAAATTTATTATTCAATATATTAATGCAAGGCTAAGGCCTAAACTTATAAAATCTATCAAAAATAATTTAATAGATTAAAAATAAATAGCCAGCCTTATTTGTATTTGGAAGAAATAGCTTCTTGGCTTCTCATTCTAATGCTCCAATTATAGGGTATAGTTCCACTCTTTTTTTTAAACTATACACCTGGT